CGTTCAGTCGTGTCCAACTCTTTGTGACCCCATGGACTGTAGCCTACCAGGTTCCTCTGTCCATGGGATTTTCCAGGCAAGAATACCAGAGTGTTTTGCCATTTCCTTATCCAGGAGATCTTCCTGACCCAGGGATTGAATCCCGGTCTCCCACATTGTAGGCAGACGCTTTAGCGTCTGGGCCACCAGGGAAGTTCAGAGCAGGTCCTTAACCCCTCAAGGGAAACCCTGTGTACTACTGACCACCCGGCCCCAGATATAGTTCCATGTTACAGAAGGACCCTGAGGCACAAGGTGCCTCGAGCTGATCTCTCGCCATCCCAGCTGGACTGGAGGCCGCGGTCCACTGGCTCATCTTTTCCCAATTTCCTCTGCCTAAGTACACCCAAGGCTCCCTCCCCAGGGTCCAAGTTCCAAATCGACCTGGCCCCCAAAGTCTGCTGAGCCTTGCCCTCTCCCCACCCCCAATCGCCTGGCCAACACACACACACACACACACACACACACACACACACACACACACGCTGGTGCATGCACTTTAGTCAACACCAGTGGTGCAGAAGCCGCTGTGCAGCCTTCCAGGGCAAAAGATGGAGTTTTCCTCAGACCAAGGCCCTTGAGAAGCACACTTTATCAGCAGACGGCTGTTTTCCTTCCCTGTTTCCCCACCCCACCCCACCCCATACTTCTTGATAGAGGTTTTTATCGATCTATGTATAAAGTGAAGCAGAATAAACATGGCTAGAACATTCTTTTCCTCACTACTGGTTCCACAGGCTGAATCTGTCCTCAGTTAAGTGGGCTTGAGAACATCCTAGAAGCCCCCCCACCCGCCTAACACCTAAATACCCTTTTCCCACTTTACAAAAAGCTCAGTAATTCTCATTTCTTACATCTCCCTTCTTCAAGAAGTAGTTCTGACTCTTAAGACGGTGGGAAGCCTGCACTGACTAAACAAACTTGCCTTCTGGGTGGTTTATATAGCCTGTAGCACTGTGAGCATTAGCTCACACCAGCCTCCCCTCTCAGTTTCTAATATGCCCTCTAGGAGGGCACTGGGACCTCTTTAGTTTATGAACCCAAAAGCTGTAACTCCAGCCTGATCTGTTACTTTTGTGGTTCTCTAAGAGTTACATTGCAGGTTCTAGTTATTTTTGCAGGCATCATATCCCCTTAAATTTGGAAGAGGGAGGAGTTGCCTGCCCTCTGCTCCAGAAACAATAGAGTGGAGCCTGGATTCCCAGGATTGGAAACCGTGGCTCCACATTGGAATCTCCTGGGGATCTTTGAAATACTCAGATGCCCAGACCACCCCAGAACTTGTGACTCAGTTTAGGGAGGTGTACTTCCTGGGCATACTGGGCTTCCTAGGTGGGGCTACTGGTAAGAACCCCCCTGGGGACATAAGAGATGGGGGTTCGATCCCTGGGTGGGGAAGATCCCCTGGAGGAGGGCATGGCAACCCACCCCCAGTGTTCTTGTCTGGAGAATTCCCATGGACACAGGAGCCTAGAGGGCTACAGTCCATAGTTCGAAAAGAGTCACACATGACTGAAGTGACTTAGCAGGCATGCACCATAGTACTATGTTTTAAAGCTCCTCAGGTGACTCTAATGAGGGAGCCACTGAGCTGGAAGAAATCAAGAGCATTTGATCAGGAATTTGTTTGCTTTGGGGCCTGCTCCCATTTATCCTATTGCAACTAAAGAGCTACACTTACGTTGTCACAGAACAAAATTTCCACAGGAAGACAGTGAAGGATGCAGCTACTTGAATAACAGGGCTAGCTGAAGCCCACTTCTCTCCATCTTACCCAGTCCAGTCCTGACCTCCTTCCAGAAGAAACAAGGAGTGGCTCTGGATGAGGAGGTATTTCCTCTCACTTGGAATGTTTCTTCAGGAATAATTTCTTCGCTTTCCCCTGCTGCCCTAGGTGGACTCCCCACGACTGATGAGGGGAGCCTTATGGCTCTCAGGTTCTAAACAATTACAAGAAACTGAGCTGTGCAGGATTGTTCAGTTTGGTTCAGGGTCCAGGGACATCTCGCTGAAGTTGTAGAAGGCAGAGGGAGATGGGGGCAAGTGGATGAAGTTCAAATTGCAGAGTGATTTGAAACTTAACTTTTTTTTTTTCTAAGAAAACTTTTTTTTAAGTTCACACATGTAGTACATTAGCTGGTGTAGCTTCATATTCAGAAAATAGTTACATATTTCCTGCTATATGCAAGACACTGTCTTAGGTGTTATGGGGGAGATAAGAGTAAATGATACTATGATACTGCATTGTGACTGTCTTGCACATGGACCAGATAAACATTTTAATACTCTAAAAACAAATGCTGGGATTTGAAGTTTTAGAAAAGGTGTTTTATGATTACTATATTGATTGCTTGAAAGTTTGGGGGTAACTATTAGTGCTTCTTTATTATTTTTTTAAACATAAAAAATATGTTTGGTTATGTCTTCCCAACTCAGATACATCACTGGAGTTTGCTGGGATGAATACCCAAATGAAACTTTTATAGAAGTGCTTATCTTTTTGTGAGAAAAAAAATGAAATCAGCTTTGAGTTTATTAGTTTAATTTGGGGAGTGGTTTCTTCCATTGTATTCTTTTGTCCTGTTCTGCAATATAAAGTCTTCAAGTTCAGAGACTTCATTTAATATTGTTTACCATTCTGGCACCTTTAAAATAATTTTAAAGACCACTTTGTTACAAATGGGGGCTTATTTTTATTATTATTAATTTTGCAATTCCATAACTCTGTGAAAGAGAGAGCGAAGGAGAGAGAGAGACTAGCTATAGGAAAGTGCTTTATAGCACAGTTCCATACATAAACTTCATTTCTTGAGCTATTTTGTTCTTCAACAGCTGTAGTAGGTTCAAATAATTATTTTGAGTATTAGGCTCAAAAAAATGGGGAGGCAGATGGCTCTGAAAGTGGGCTTGTCACTACTTTGTCATTACACATGTCAGTTAATTTCTGTTGATTATTTTTTATAATGTAGACCCATCACAAGTAATTTAATGAAAGAAAGAACCTTCAGAGGATAATACAGTGGAGGCAGCTTATTGTGCATATGCTATGTAATATCGAATTTTCTGATTCATAGAAACCACATATTAATTATTTTGATGATTATTGAATGGTCTTTGCAGTTGTTTTTACATTTCCATCCAAACATCATACACTGCTTATGTGTGCTAGTACTTGGAGAGAAAGTATATGATTTTAAAAGGAGTTCTTCCTGTTGAAGATCATGAATTTCAGATAGTTACACAAATCCAAATATTCAACTCCAATACTGAAAAAAAACATATTTGGTGGCAGAAGTACCGGATCTTCCCCTTTCCCGAAGAGAGGCAACACTGCATACCCCCTTGAATAGGCAAACAGGCTACAGAGGTATTCAGTCACCTATGCTGGCTTCTGTCTCATTTCATTGAGCAGAAAGAGGTGAGAAGGAAATTTTCCTCTAAGCCAAAGTGGAAAGGAGGCATCCCAGCCCTGTGGTGGCTCTCCTCACCCCAGTCCCTGCAGCCGGGATAAAAACCTTCCTAGTTTCAGTAGAAGGAACAAATCTGGTCAGGAGAGGAGGTCTTATGACCAGTCCATCAATTTAAGGGGTTGTGTTTGGGGTTTGTCTAGAGGGCCAAATCCATAGCTCTTCTACCTCCTCCCACTCCAAGGTGTATGTTTTGAGTTTTCTGGTCTCCCGACAGAATGAACAAACAATGCCCTCTGAGTGTAAGGCTACCAACATGCCTACATGACTGCATCACAGCCAGAGCTGCAAATACTGGTGAGATCGCTGCACGGGCCTGCTCTGTGTTCAGCTCAAGGGCTGGGCTGAGGAAGAAGGTGGAGCTCAAGTCTGCAGAGCTTCCCAAGAAGTAAGCGTGTGTGTGTGTGTGTGTGTGTGTAAGAACATGCCTTGCTTAGGCTCACAACACATCCTACCGTTCGCTTCTCCGTCACCTTTCTTGAGGCGCCACTTAGAACAGCGCCTGCGGCGCCCGCGCTTTCAGTGAGCAGGATGCTGGCGAAGTCCCCTCTTCCTGTTGGTCAGGACAGAGGATCCGCTACTTTGGGACCCAAGGAGGGCGGAGTAGCCGGAAGTCGGAGGCCGAAAGCCGGGAGTGGGCCGAGACCCCAGTGCTTCTCCCGGTGCCTATCGCTCCCCGCTACACCAGGCCAACCTGGAGACTCGGGAGGGCCTAGGGAGGGGGGACTTCGGCCCCTAGTGGGGGCAGGAGATGATAGTGCGGGGAAACCTCGGGGGAGGGGGAGGAGGCTGGCGCAGAGCCCGAGCGACTTGGACGGCCTTCGCTCCATTCTGTTCCCCGGAGAGGGAAACCTCCTCCTCTCCTTCCTCTCCTCCCCTTCCCTTCCCTCCTCTCTGCCTCCGTGGGGCGCTCAGGTCCCGCTGCTTCCCGAAGCCCCAAAGCCTCAGCCGCCCGATGCCCCGGCCCAGAGGGCACAAGGGCCTGCGAGCCTGGTTCTGGGGCCGGCCAGCCCTTCCGTTTTTCCTACAGGGAACCAAGGGGCGCAGCGCCTCGCCTCCCTTCCCTGCCTGCCACCGCTCGAGAGGGGCTGTTTAATTAAAGGGGAACCCGCAATGTATACGTCTGATAAAAGCAACGCGCAGAATAAACTAATTAAAACATTGTGTTTGCAACACATTTTATTTCTCTCTCTGCCTTTTTTGATCTTCGCTGTGTTTTAAAGAAATGTCATCGCACCATAGAGCGAGCCGTGAAACGCTATTTCCTTATAGTGTGCGGCGCTTTTCAAAGGCTAGTGTGATATATTTTAGAAAAGGGATCCCGCTGTGAAAGCTTGCGTGTCTTCCCTTTACCAAACTAAGCTCTTGTCAATCACACCGAGCCCGGTCCAATCACCGAGATCCTTTTTGGAAAGCAGCTCATCCCGCTGTGCTTTTATACCGCGCTCCGCAGCCTGTTTTGATGCATTTTTACCAGCACGTCCAGGGAAATGAATGATGAGGCCGCGGACAGTGCAGGCCTGGCTCCCTGAGCGCCCGCCCGGCCCTAACGAGGCGCCGGCGCATTGTGCGTGGTCCGGGCTTTCTCACGTGGCGGCCACTGCGCGGGGCTGTCCCGACGTCAGCTCGGGTCAATGCTGGGGACCCGGCTTGTCATGGCCGCGCGACAGCTTCCACCCGGCAGCCGCGGGCCTGGATCGGCGAGGCTCAGTAGCCGGCCTCCTGGCCCGTCTGGCCCAGGAAAGCAAGACCCAGCGCTGCCTGGCGCTGCCCCTCGACTGCGAGGAGTCCTGGGGCCCTGTTGATGCGCCACCCCTGCAGAATGTGGGGCCCGAGAGTGTGCGGCGGCGGAGGCACGGCCGGCCGCCCCCACGAAAGAGGTCTCTGGCTTTGTCCGGATTTAGCATAGGACACTGGTTTCCAGCAAGCCTCGGGTTTCTCCTCTCTGTCCTCTCGCCCTGCACCATCACATCCAGAGGTTCCGGGGACTCCCCCATCCCCCTTAGAAAGGCCGCTCCCGCCTCGGAGGGGCCATCAATCCACTCGGGCCCCAGCAGCTCTCGGAGAACCCCAGCTCTGAAAGAGGGACTCGTCTAGGGACGCCCACCAGTAGGACCGAATTGGTGGCCTCGGACCGGGCAGAGCCTACAGTCTCCAGTCGGGACGCTTACTCCCCAATGGACCACGGAGCCGCGGGGCTGGCGCGGATGGCCCCGAAAAGACAAATATAAACTCCTAAACCACTGCCGAGAACCCACGAGGGCAAGGGCCCCCGCCCGCGCCTTCCCTGGATGCCAGAAAGGGTTGGCAGGAGCGGCCCAGCTCCAGAGTCCCAGAGATTTTCCCCCGACCCCCCAGCATTTAGTCAGCCTCTGTCAGGGCTGGGGGCGCGCCCCGCCAGGGTGATGTGGAAGCTTTTGATCTTCACATTGGCTTTCCGGCTCTGGGAGGGGAGACGCGGGAGGAGGCTTTGTGGTCCTCCTTTCCGGCAGCGCCAGAATCGTTGCCTGCTTTTGTTTCCAGTTCCACTTCGAACTTGAACCAGGAGAGTGAGGTTTGGCTAAGGTTTCAGCGGATGAACAAGTGAAACCTGTGTGAGATTGTATGCATTTGTAGAATAGACCAAAGTCTACATTTCTAAATAGTCCAGTGTGAGTCCATTCGGCCTCTCTGTCTCTCGCTGGCTCTCACACTGATGCCGACCCGCCCTAGTCTCCGATTACAGGCGCCCTCGGTGCTCCTGTTCTATTTCCAGGGGACTGCGACCCTCCCTCCCCAGCGCCCAGGCGCACCTCTTTCCACCACCTGCCAGTTTCTTTTGAACATACCCCAAAGTGCTTATTTGTTCGAAGGGCCCTGGGTCCATCCAAGAGCCGAGGGCAAGGAGAGAGGTGCCCAGGTTCCCTGAATTTTTCCTCAACGCCCTGGCCACTAGCTAGATCTCTCCTGTTGGAAGGGAAATCTCTGCTCACCCGGGTCCCTTCCCAGAGGTCTCCTCCGTGATGCCCAGATCCTCAGGCTGACTCTAAAACGAGGGGAAACTCCCTCAGCCCTCCCCGCCTCCCCCGCCACCGGCCCGCGAGCTGGGCCTCGGGTTCTACACGGAGGCTGGGATGCAGATCAGCTGGAACCTGCCCGGCGCTCCGAGGCTCCCGGGGGCACCAATCATCGTCTCCCCGCAGCCCGCCCGGTGGAGTGCAGGCCCCGCAGGTCAGCAACTTCTCCAGAGTTCCCTTCCCGGACTCCCGCAGGTGGGGCCGCCGGGCGGAAGAGGGACGGACCCGTCCGGGTAAAGACGAAAGTTGATGCTGCTTGCTGCCCTCCGGGAGGCCTGAGGAACCTGCCAGGAAACCTGTGTCCGGGCAGTGCTTCCCTTCTGTACTTCGTAAGACAAAGCGTGGGGTTTTGCCACAGGCATTGGTGAAGTTTGCAAGTGTGAAGGTGGCCCCAGTGCAGACGCCACCGGCCGCAGAAAGCCTGTGGACCCGGAGGGAGGCAGGCACTAGCGTTTCACCTGCCTCGGTTTAACCAGGAGACAGGAGCTGGGGTTTTGCTGTGACTCCCAGTCCACTCCAGTCTGTCTCTGAGCTGCAGATCATCCTGAAATTTCTGAATGACTTGATGAAATAGGGAGCGCCCGTGAAATCTTGGTATAGATGTATATACAAAAAAGAAAAGAAAATCCTGGAAATAATGGGTTCTTTTGATGTGAAGAATTGCTTGTCTCCATTGAACCGGTTATTACCCTTCTTCTTCTTCTTCTTTTTTTAAATTGCATCATGGCTCCGGGAATCTGGGGTGGACGTTTAGGTTTCTACTTCCAGGCATAAAGCAGTTCAAGAGTGAACTCGACGGCTGTTAACAGGCAGTTTGCCAACAGCCCCTGACAACGAGATGAGGACTCCCACACACGAAGGCAACAAACCGCAGTCTGCTGGGACTCCGGTGGCTTCCAGAACCCTGGCAGAAGAGCCTGAAGCAAAGCCAGCACCCAGTGTGACTCGAGCTGCTGTTGGCTGCCACCCTGGGCCCCGACTGACACCCACTGCCGCCCCGCCTTGCGCGAGTCCGTCCCAGACTCTCTCCGTGGCTTGTTGGGTACCAGTCCTTGCTGAGGGTCCCAGGACCAAGCCAAGAAGTCCAGATGGAACACAGGACCTTGCAGATAGCGTTTACCTCTGACAATGGCTCCTTCCCTGGCTCACAGAGCCCGACCCAGGCGCCCCAGAGAATGCGCTGTTGTCTTAGGGCAAACCCTGAGAAGCAACTGGCAATCAAGGTCCGAGGCCAAGGAGCTTCGAAGATTTACTGCTGCTGGAACAAGCGAGGTGGCCTCTGCCCTTTTAATTTAGTTCTTCGCTTGGAGGGCGGTGAAGGTGTAGGTGTGACAGGGTGTGTGATATCTACCTTTGAGAGAAGGGACAGTGTCCCACATCATTCAAGTTGGAATTACAACCTGGTTTCCAGTCTCAGCTGGGCGGCTCCTACAAGTTGGCTGACACGGGGACAACCCTGGCTCCTGTCCAGGCCTCCATTTCTTCCCTTACAAAAGGAAAGATCCTTCTAGGGCATCCAACAGCCCCCCGCTAACCCCCATCTTGTGATAGACGCAGTCTCACCACTTGTTTGTTGGGCAAATGGATGGACTCCTGCCTCTCCCCTTTACCCTCCTCTCACAAAGTCTCCTAAAAACTTCCTTTGAACCCATCTGTCCCCAAACGAATTTTATCTTCTACCACTTCGTCTGTCTCCTGAGCCCTGCCCACGCGGGAAGTTTTTCCCTGGAGCTGCCAGAGGTTGCGGGGGTCTTGGCGGTGCAGCGCCCCTCACCTCAGTCCCTGAGCCGCACGATCCCCAAGGACAGGGCTGTCCGACCAGCAGTAGCCAGGGTGATGTGGGGGGCACATCGGCAGTCTGTCTTCCCTGGACTTCCACCTAAAGGGGCTGCCGGCGCGCCCTCTCTGTGGGCCAGAGGGGCCCTTTGATCCCGAGCTGCCTCTTCAAAAGACGAGGGCTTTAAATGTGTAGGGATCCTAAAAATAAGGCTAATCAAGTTCCTGCTAAGAAGCCAAGGCCCTGCCAAGCGGTCCAGGACAGTGCAGACGCAGACCTCCGACTCGCTGTCCAGAGCTGGGCTGACATCGCTGTCTGGCTGTAAGCTCACGGGTGGAAAACACCAGACACAAATAGCTCCCTTCCCGCACCGCGTGACCATTTTCTAGATGGGACTTCTTCTCTCCACAGGACAGAGAGAGGCGATAGACGAAGATTCCGGGGTCGGCTGAGACCCCGGCGCGGCGAGATGCTGCTCCGCATCTCGGGGGCTCCCCACCACTCGGGCTGTTCCGCCGCTGGCCCGGCCGCCGCTCTCCAGCCCGGCTTCCCCTGCCCCGGCGCCGCGCGCTGCATCCCCAGCAGAGAGGCAGGTGGGTGGAACGTGTCCTTTGCTCTCTCGGGGTTGAGAATTAGGAACCCGCACGCCTGGGGCAAACACTTGGTGCTCTGCAGGGAGGCCTGTGAGAACCCTCAAAGGTCCCGGCACGACCGCTCCTCCCACCAACCCCAATCTGGCTCCTTCTGCTAAAGTCTGGTCACAAAAGAAAGAAAAAGCCATCCACTGGCTCAGTTCTGTTAGCCCAGTGCACCGACTGGCCCTTCTGCCCTTTGCACTTATAATTTTTTTTAGACTCCATCCATGTGAACTGGTTGTCCCCCACTAACACCTGCTGCCAGCCAGTTCAAAATTGTCTCCTCTTTCAGCTTCCCCACCTCACCTTAGACTTAAGTCCTTTAAGAAAATGACTTCTCAACTTTGAAAGAAATGGTGTTCGCAGTGCTCCGGGAGAGCAGGGAAACGATTTATTCAGCACTTACCTTGGGACTTCCCTCCTATCTCAGTTGGTAAAGAATCTGCCTGCAATGCAAAAGACCGGGGGTTGATTCCTGGGTTGGGAAGATCCCCTGGAGAAGGAAATGGCCACCCACTTCAGTATTCTTGGCTGGAGAATCCCATGGACAGAGGAGCCTGGCAGGCTACTATCCATGGGGTCACACAGAGTCGGACAGCACTTAGCGACTAGACCACCACCACCACTAAATAAAAGGCGTTGAAGGTAAATATTGTCAAGAAATTGCCTCCATAACCCTCTGAAGTTGGTACTATTATCCCCCATTTTACATATAAGGAAGCTGAAGCACAGGGCTGAAGGGAATTGCTTCCAAGTGTTTAGAATCTAATAGACCCCTCCCCCATCGAACTTGACCCAACTGTGAAGCCTTTCTTAACTGGCTTTAGTGGTCCCTAACCTGGGCTTTTCCTCCTGAGACTGGAAGGGAAGTGCCAAAGTTAAAGAGGCTTTGGGTCGGAGCCATAACTGCCCACCGAGTCTGCCCTCAGCAACTGCCTGGGACGAGGTACTAAGATTTAGTGCCCAGTTTAGCCAGCTGTTGACCAGCCCTGGGCCTTGGGGGAATCCGTCCACCTCTCGGTTTCTCCCTCATTTGTAAATTGGGATTCATGATAATCACCGACCCCTTCAATTGGGTCGACGTCAGAATCAGGGGAGTATGGCTGCGATACTATCAAGTGCCAACGCACGGCTACCATGATCCGACGCAGGGAGCTGGGCGGGACGCCAGGCCGCGCCCAGGAGGCGGAGTTGCGAGGACTTCGGCTGGAGGGTCCCCCGACCTCCCCTGGAGCCACCTCTGGAGCAGGACTCGGTCCCAACTGTCCTGGGCCGGGACCGCACTGAGTCTCGGGGGAAGTTTCGGGGCGCACCTGGCAGCCTGAGACTCGCCGCCCCCGGAGGACCGAGGCTGAGTTCGGAAAATGCTTTGAGGTCCAGAGGGCCCAGCTGGCTATTTCGAACTCACTCGGAGCCACACCCGGCTTGGGTCTGCGAAGTTCGGGGTCATGTGTAAACGGAAGTGCTGACCCTCGGCTCCGGGAGAACAGTCCAGAAAACTTGTGCGCAGGTAGGGACTTCGGGTGTGCAGGCTCGCGCCCCTGCGGGGCTGGGGCTCTCCGCTGGAGCAGCCGGCTTGAGGGCCCCGACTCCGGGCTGGAGGGTGGGCACTGCATTTGGATTTTGGAAAGATTAAACTATCTCCCCGGTGGTGCTGTTTTGCTCACTGAACTATCTTAGGACGAAGGGCATGGGGTGAGGGGAGAACTAGTGACTGAGGGAATAAATACTGCCCTGCTGTTGACAAGCCTGCCAGCCGCAGGCCCTGAGGGGATTTGGGACAAGACCTCAAGGGCACGCTGGGGGAAGCAGTGGCCTTGGCTGTTAGTCTTCTTGGTTTGGGGGACAGTGGCCCATCCTGCTGTACCTCAAAATGTCCCAATCCTTACAAAGTTTTAAGTGATTCCCACCCTCTGGGCAAGCTGAAATTATGGGGAATCCTGTCTAATCTCTCCACCCCACAGCAGACAACACAGCTCTCGCTCTCGCTCTCTCTCTAACTCTCCGGGTCTGTCTCTCTCTTTCACTGTTTCTCTCACACACTTCACTCATTTAGTCTCTCTTTCCCAGAAGTCCTGTAATCAGTGCACAGACTTTAGTCAAGTAGTTTTAGAAAGGTTTGATTCTCTATGTCTTGTCATTAACTAGCTTTTTGAACTCGATTCTCTATTTCTTGCCATTAACTAGCTTTCTGAACTCGGACAAGTGACTTAAGACCCCAGAACCGTGTCAATATATGGCAAAAATCACTAAAATATTGTAAAGTAATTAGCCTCCAATTAAAATAATTTTTTAAAAAGACCTCTGAACCTGAGTTTCCACATCTGTGAAAGAAGATTAATAAAGGTGCCCATCTTTATGGTCTTCAGGTAAATTAAATGAAATAGAACCACATAATAGTGACCACTCAGTGATAGCTCTGTGTGTGTGTGTGTGTGTGTGCGTGTGTGTGTGTGTGTGTGCGTGCGTGTGTGCGCGCGCGGCACGTGCTGTACTTAGTCATGTCTGATTAGTTGCAACCCCATGGACTGTAACCTGCCAAGCTCCTCTGTCCATAGGATTCTCCAGGGAAAAATACTGGTGTGGGTTGCCATTTCCTTCTCCAGGGGATCTTCCCAACCCAGGGATCAAACCCATGTCTCCTGCCTGCGTCTCCTGCATTGGCAGTTGGATTCTTTACCACTTGAGCCACCTGGGAGGCCCAGTGTAAGCTACTAACCTAAATAAAGTAATCTCTACAGTAGCTTCCTCTGTAATGTGTTGAAGCAGGCAGAGTGGCTAGAAGGAGTTAATGAGCTTCATCATCTTTGTGGGGTGTTGGAGATAATGGAGTGTTGTAGGAACTTACTTTTAAAATCTCTTCCAAACTTGAATCTACGACTACAGCCCATATCCTACCTGCCATCATACCAACTTAGGACAGATGCTTTTGTCCCTCAGATCCCCAAAGAGCAATTTCATTGCCAGCTGGAGATGCCCCAACTGAGCTTCTGTCTGTTCAGACTTAGCCAGGGCCAGCACCCTCCCTTTATATGCTAGGGCAAGTCTCATCTCTACCCAGGGCAGCCAAAGACCTTGACCCAAGGCGATCTGGACCAGCAGAAAGACTCTGCCCCTCCCTTCATTTCCATCCCAGTGTGTTCCCAGGTGAAGTGAAGATAAGAGGATTATCGGTAGCAGTCTAAAATGTGTGGGAGGAGTCACAAAATGCAACCTAAGGAATTGGAAGTACCAGGTGGAGAAGGAGAACCCATTGGGCAGGCCTTGAGCGATAAGCACAGTGGAGTTGGGAGAATGTGTGGAACCCCTACAACTCCATCAGTTTTTCCCTTCCTTAATAATTGCCCAGTTCTTCTCAATAGTTCAACTCAACTTTCACCCTAACAAGGTGCCCCAAAGAATGACAACAATTCAGAATGTCTAGTCAGTCCTGGGCCTCAATTCAGCCAGGAGCAGAGTTCTGGAAATGTGATCTCAAGACAAAGAAGGTGGTGAAGTGGAGACACAGTGGGCACCCAGATGGAGTGACCTTGGACAATTTACTTAAGCTATCTGGGTTTCTACTGAGCTCATGTATAATCTGAGTCAGCTGGACAGGATGATCTCCACAAGCCCTTCCATTCCTAAGAATCTGTGACCATAGATTAAGTCAAGATCAAGTCTGTAAAAAGTCAAGATCAAGTTTGACAGCATTGAGAGATAACAGCATTGAGTGGCTGGCGCCAGGAGGGGGCTGGGGGAGAGTGGATATAGCCTTTCTAAGCCCTTTTGATTATATTTGAGCAGAGGTTTCCTAAGAAAGAGATGAAAACTCTCCATGATCCTTTACTTCAAGAATCCAGAACAAGAGGAGGCGCGACCAGGGACTTCCCTGGTGGTCCAGTGGCTAAGACTCCACACTCCCAATGCAGGGGGCCTGGGTTCGGTCCCTTGTCCAGGAACTAGGTCCTACATGCTGCAACTAAGGGTTTGCATGCCGCAGCTAACGATCATTCTGCAACGAAGATCAACGGTCCCGTGTGCCACAACTAAGACCTGGTGCAGCCAAACCAACAAACATATATATATATATATATATATATATATATATATATATATTTTAAAGTTTTATAAAATTTTTTAAAAGAGATTCAACCTGACAAAGAAAGTAGAAGCAGGTCACTGTGGCCTGAGAAGGATGTCCTGACTTCTTTCCTGGGGTCACAATGATCCCAGGTTCCAGCTGAATGTGTCAACTGGAGTCAGAGAGTCTACATACCTTGACTGCACCTGTATGGACAGCATTTTATGCCTCTGGGAAATTATTCTAAACTCCAGTGGTTTTGCTTGGCCTTGGTTAACCTAATTGCACAGAGTGGTGTTGGTCCCCCAGGGAGTTCACTGGTTAAAAAATCAGGTGGGATCTTTTCTCTCCATCCTTTCCAAAGGAGGGCACATCTGTCTCCCAGACCTTCCAGAACCATCCAACAGTGCCCAGGTTAGCATTTGTAGCCAACTGATTCATTACAATGAGCATAATGTCAGAATTACATTCATTTTCACTTATGCACCATACGCTAAGTAACTCTGGAGTCCCCAAAGGCCTCCTGACATAACAAAATTCAAACACAAGGAGTATTATGACAATTAAGAATAATCTCTCAACATGAAAGTAACGAGACATGTAAAAGATTTCTCAGTTAAGAAAAAGATTTTGGTGTAGTCCTTGCATTTGGATTTGGTTTGCACCATTTAGGTTCTCATTAAATCTCTGTAACACTCAATTTAAATAGCTCATTCTTTAATTAGTGACTCTCTAAGCGACTTGAATCACAGTGTATTTTCAGTTGCATTTTAATAGCTGCTACATTTCCTTGTGTCAAAAAGTCTGAACATGTGTGTGAAGAAAGGAAAGAGAATTGTAAACTGTTTTGGCACTAGGTGATTGTAGTTTGGCTTATATCTCTGTTAGACTGAAGAGTAGGGTATTTAGACAGGCAGCCTTGTTGGATTCAGGAAGAATATATCCACACGTGGGTTCTCCTCTGCTTCTGACTTTCTGAGGACAAGAAGAAACAGTGTGGTTAGGGTAAAAGGCTCTAAAAATATCCTGGCTTTGCCCTGGCTACTAAGTAGAATTATGTGGCTTTGGCCTTGTGAGTTTAGTGTTCATGGCTTTGCATGTTTTATGCTCAGATAGTTGCTTTGAATGTAATTTTAGAGAAGTGCACTTTGCTGAGAACATTCTCTTTCTGTCTGGCTTGGAGAAGCAGCAAGCTTCTTTAGACTTCCAGGGTCAAGATTTACAATCATTGACACATGGGACAATCTATCAGATTTATAAAAAATGAGACTTTTGGTGGATATAGGAGTAAGAGATCTTCTTCTCATTTTTCAGTTGTTTCTGACTTGACTTTTCTCTGTGATTTAATTTCCTGTGTGCTTTCTACCTCATTTCAACCACACCTGAATACCAGCTACAACATATTTCCTTAGGTAGAATGCCATTCAAATTCCAATCGGGATGTTCTGCCTCAGTTAGTGAAAGACAAATAGCCATTTGTAATTATATTAACTCAATACTTATGTACAAGAGACAGCCTTATATGCTCCTAAAAAGTGGAGAATCTTCTGCACTTACTAGCTGTGTGACTTTGGCAAGTTATTTAAACTCTCCAAGCCACAGTTTCCCCACTTATAAAAAGAATTATGTTGATGATTAAAGGGTTAGTACAGTGTCTGTACTTGTTAGTGTTGTGTAGATGCTGTAAATTTTTTAAAAAATCTCTTTCTGTGTCTATAAAAGCACTCCTGAGACCTGAAAAATTAAGAGCTTAAAAGCACAGAGAAAGCTTTAGTTTCAATTACTACTGAGTTGGGAGCCTAATACAATTTTAAGAAATGGTGCAGAGTAGATACACAAATCAAAAGAAGGCTAGAGTTTGGATTTTGTTATTAGCTTGGTTGCATATCTGAAAATAAATCAATGAATGAGTAGTTTCAAGTATCTACTGTGTGCCCCTTGCTGCACCATGAATCACAACAGATCACAATCACTTGACTCCCTTCTTCATTAGCTTGTAAACTCCTCAAGGAAGGATCAGAACTGTACCCTTCTCCTCACTATATCCTCAAAATGGAGCCAAGTGTGTGCCCTGCACTTGTGATAAAACAGTCATTCTTATTGGAACAATAGATTGTTTCTAGGTGCTAATGACACGCAGAGGGCCATGGTGTCATATAACATGGGAATTCTGAGTGGCCATCGCTCAAGCAGTCCTGAAACACACTATGGATGGGGCACATCT